GCGAGGACCTCTGCTAAGGATACCACAATTACATTTCAAAGAAGTGGATCATCATTCATGTAATCACAACACATTCTTTTCTATCATTCAAAAATAGTTCATATCATATCATAATATTCAGAAAGTATTTCATATCAAACATAGCTTTATGAAGCTATTACTGACAGATAACTTCACAGATATCACGATAGCAAATTGATTGATCAACCGCTTACGGTGTGTGACCTACATCAACATAACAGATACATACTGAAACACACGCTTGGATTGAACATAACTTATTTCATTCATTCTTAGAGTGTCTCTGGCCTTTACTCTCATTATTGTATCTTATTCTTGGCCTAGGAGTGCTTAGGATGCAATGAGGATGAGCATTTGGAAACACATAACAAAACTTGCTGAAAACAGGGTTCCCGCTTGAGCGCAACTACCTTCGCTCGAGCGGACATGCAAACATGTGAGGGGTTTCTTGAGCATAACTTCCTTCCCTTGAGCGGTCTGCAAACTTTGAAAAAGTACTGATTATGTGATTTTCACACTCGACAGACGCTTGACGGTCGCTCGAGCATGTGACTCAAGTTCTCGCTTAAGCGTAACTCTTGTTGCTCGAGCGGTCTGCAAAAACATAAAACTTCTGGGAGCTTGCATTTCATGCCCGAGCAAACTTCTGGTCGCTCGAGCGGAAGTGCAAGATCACAGAGTGGTCGCTCGAGCGCAGGTTCTATCACTCGAGCGGAGGGTCGAATTATGAAATTTCTAGATTCATCTCTAAGCTGCAAAACTCGAATTCAACACATCAAAACTCTTCCTTTTGGGCCAAAAACTTAAGGAAACACTTGTAAACTTGTTAAACACGAAGAATTGAGGATCTTTTCATAAAATAAAGGCCTGAAAGTATGCTAATTGCTCAAAACTCAAACTTGGAATTGGGAAATCATGTAATTATGTACCATGCATGCAAAGGCACAAGCTCAAGCTTTCAAAATAGGATCAAATAAGGCAAATAGGTGGGAAACAAGATGAATTCTCAAAACTAAACTAAATTTGACACATGTAAGTGGAAATTCTTTGGAATTAAACTCAAAGCAAGTGAATTCCTTCAAAACCAAACTTGATCAATATGTATACATGTCATGCATGTGTTACCAAGAACTCAAACCTTTCAAAAATTGTACAAATGGAGTGTTAAAGTGCAAAATCACAAGAGCTCCCAGAATTGAACAAAAATAGGTCCTTGCATGTAAAAATTGGCTGAATTCAACACTCACAATTCATGAAATGCACATGCATGTATGAAATGTTCATCTTCTCTATATTGTTATCTCAATTCTTGCATAACTCTACTCAATCCTCAAGAATTCATGTCCTAGACACCATAATTATACAATTCAAGGGATGAATTCCTACCTCAATTTCTCAACGAAGCCTTAGTTGGTGAATTCACTAAAGTTCCAAGCCAATTTCCTTAAATTCTCTAGAAATCCTTGCTTGAACTCAATTCTCTCCTCTACTCTCTCTTACACACGTTTGTTTGCTCAAAGATGAGGGAAAAAAATAAGAGTATGTGGTTGAGTCTTGGCTCATATAAGCCTTGGGGATTGTCACAACCCAAACCTGCCCCTGTAGGTTTAGCACCGTAACCGGCCAGTAATTCGTGGATTACCAAAGGCCTCTAGACAGATTAGCAAATAATAAGGGGCTGTGGAAGCAATAATACAAAATAGACAAGGTTTAATGAGCTGTGATAACGTACATGGGACAGAAAATTTCAAAACTTATATATATACATAAGCATGCCAGTTAGAGGGCACCAATATTTACAAAGTATTTATATCCCAAGACCTCTCTTTACAAAACACATACTGAGACTAGCATGAGTACAAAAAACAACCATAGCATTAGACTTCGACCGAAACCTCCTCGGGAGGCACAACAGTTGGCTGACAAAACAAAACGGAAGGCCGTCAACTCTGGCCCTGGTCACACGCCGGCTCACCTACATATATAATATAAACTGTGAGCGAAAGCACAGTGAATAATAACAGAGTAAAGGGGTTTTATGAATGAGTCCATACAGATTAAGAATCCATAATTTAGTTTCGTATCAAAATCATAACTTGTCTAGATCATATACAGACAGAAATCATAAGCCTTGTTTAAGTTTACGTGATACATTCTTTAGCACTAGCAGAAACAGTTGACCCATATGGGACTACCATAAAGGCATACAGTTGACTCATGTGTACAGAGACGATACAGTTGGCTCATGAGACGTACAGTTGACCCATGAAGGGACGTAAGGATCCATAACAGTTGGCTCATGAGACGTACAGTTGACCCATAAAGGGACATAATAGAACCGATAAAAATTATCATTTGAGGCTAAGCATGTCACGAATACATTTCAGAAACATTGGACAACCATTCATTCATACAGAAAATATTACCTCGGCAAACAGATCATTTTATATCACTCAAAAAATACTTATAATTGAACATAATTTTACAAAGTTATTACTCACAGTGGGCCTTGAGACAGACAGATAGACGGAGTAAGCTTGGTCAAACGGTACGTGGCACGTGACCAACATAATACATAACAGATACACTCTTGAAACACACGTTCTAATTGTACAAAACTTATTTCGTTGGCTCTTAGTGCACTTCTAATCTCTTACCCTCATTATGGGATCTTAAACATGGCCTAGAAATGCCTAGGATGGAATGAGGATGCAAAAATACCTTGGAAACATTTTCTCAAAATTTGCTGAAATAAGGTCCATGCTCGAGCATGGTTTTCCTCGCTTGAGCGTACATGCAGATGTTGAGGCTCCGCTGGAGCGTGAACTTCCCTGCTCGAGCGAACTGTAAATTCGAAAAAAGTATTGGATGCAGGATATTCACGCTCGACAGGCGTTCGACCCCCACTCGAGCGTGAGATTCAGACCCCCGCTCGAGCGTGTATTCCCTCGCTCGAGCAGACTATAAAACATGCAAACTTTTGGGTATACGTATTTCACGCTCGAGCGTGACTCTCGACGCTCGAGCAGAAGTGCATGTACTCAAGCTTCACGCTCGAGCGTGAAAGTCCCCGCTCGAGCGTGGGTCAATTTTCTGGAAAATCCAGATTGACCTTCCAAGCTCAAATTCGACAATCAACTTTCCAAAACTCATTTTTTCTGGGCCAAAACTTTGAAAAACCCTTAGTAATTCATAAAAAAATAAGTGTGAAGCTTCAATTCAAGAAATCATGGCCCAAGAGTAAGTCAATCATGCACAATTCCAACATGAAACTTAACATTAACTCAAGTACATGACTAGTATGGATTTCCTTGAATTCAAATCTTCCAAAACATGACTAAACGCAAATGTTTATCTCAAAACATGATCAACTATGATATTATGACATGGAACATGAAGAATTTTTAAACAAAGCTTGAATTATGACATGCATACAGGGATTCTTGAAAATCAAACTCCAAAATGCTATGGAACATGCATGCATGCATGAATTCATTCTTAATTCCCCCTTTTAAGTCCAAACACCTGCTAACCCACCTAACACCATTAATTCATGATCTCACCAACTAGATTTCAAGACTAGAGATTAACATTCTTACCTAGGGACCTCAATTCCTTATGTTAGTGATGGTCTCCAAGTTTTCCTAGCAAATCCTCTCCTTGTGAATTAAATCTTCAAGCCCTACACTAATTCCCCTTCTCTCACTCTCTCAGTCATTTGTCTCTCCCTCTCAAGGTTCAAGAGTGATCAAAGAAATGAATAATAGAAGGTGAGTGGTGCTCAAATGGCCTATTAAGTGGTAATTGGTCAAAAGTAACCAAATAACATTATTTTAATCGAATTTAATCGCTCCGAATCGAATTTTAATTAACCCTACCATAAAATTCTATAAATTCTAATAAGCACATAAATCAAGTCAATTTCTGGGTCGAATGTCGATAAGGCTTTCAATTCGCTAACCGAAACTAAAACGTGAACATATATTTCTACACCGAACAGATAGAAACACAAAATCATGCAATCACACATGCAATTTAGTTCCAAATCCTTCCTAAATTATTGCTAGGCTTAACTAAGCACGAATTAACGTTAATCTGAGGTCGGGGTTATTACAGTCTTCCCCCCTTAAAAGAGTTTGGTCCCCAAACTCGAATTACCTTCATTCTGGGAGAACATCGGGTTCAATGGAAACAGTTCCGGATATCTTTTCATCGTGTCTTCCTCGGTTTCCCAAGTTGCATAGGTCCTTCCGTGGTTTTTCCAGTCAACTTTTATTAGTGGTATTTCTTTATTTCTCAGTCTTTTGATCCTCCGATTCACAATCTGGATAGGTCTTTCCTCATAGGTGTAATTATCTGTCAAAAGTACATGTGTTGGCTCAATGACATGGAGTGGATCTCTCAAATACTCTCGAAGCATCGATACATGAAATACATTGTGCATGTGCTCCATTACCAGTGGTAAAGCTACCCAATATGATATTGGATTGATCTTTTCAAGGATTTCATAAGGTCCAACGTACCTCGGCGCCAACTTGTCCTTAACACCACCAAACCGAGTTTGACCCTTCATCGGGGTCACCTTTATGAACACATGGCCCCCAACTTCATATTCTCTATCTCTCCTTCGAACATCAACATAGCTTTTCTGCCGACTTTGTGCAGTTTTCAGGCATTGCTGGATTAGTTTCACTTTCTCGGTTCTTTCTTGTACAAGTTCCGGTCCCAACAAAGCTCTATCACCTACTTCAGCCCAACATATCGGAGAACGACATTTTCTTCCATACAACGCTTCGTAAGGTTCTATTTCAATGCTTGAATGGTAACTGTTGTTGTACACAAATTCAGCTAGAGGCAAATAGGTCTCCCAATTTCCTTGAAAATCTAACACACACATTTTGAGCATATCCTCCAGAGTTTGGTTCGTTCGTTCAGTTTGGCCATCTGTCTATGGGTGATAGGCCTTGCTCAGTCTAAATTCAGTCCGCAAAGCGTGTTGTAAACTCTACCAAAATCTCGACACAAACTTTGAATCCCTGTCAGACACAATAGATACTGGCACTCCATGCAATCTCATAATTTCAGTCATATAGATATTGGCCAATTTATCAGCGTTATAAATAGTTTTAACAGGCAGAAAATGGGCAGACTTAGTTAAACGGTCAACTATAACCCAGATGGAGTCCATACCTCGAGAAGAACGAGGCAATCCCACATTGAAGTCCATGGTAATGTGCTCCCATTTTCATTTCGGTATTGGGAGTGGTTGTAACAAATCGGCGGGTCGTTGATGCTCAGCTTTAACTTGTTGGCAATGTAGACATCTATCCACAAAGTCTGCAATACTCTTTTTCATTCTAGGCCACCAAAAACTCTGTTTTAAGTTATGATACATCTTCGTGTTTCTCGGATGCATAACAAACTTACTACTGTGAGCTTCAATCATAACATGTTTTCTCAAATCACCACAATCGGGTACACAAAGACGGTTCTGAAATTTCAGCACATCATGCTCAAACACAAATCCTGGCCTTGGCTTCGAATCAAATTCCTCTATGATCTTCTTCAAGTATTCATCTTCACATTGTTTTTGCTTGATCTCATCAAGAATAGCAGGTTGAGCAAAAATAGCGGTTGATAGCCCAACTTGTTCTAGGTCATTCAATAATTCTTTCCGATTAGATAACAGACATGACAAACTTCCCGTTGATTTTCGGCTTAAAGCATCTGCTACGGTATTAACTTTCCCTGGGTGGTACAAGATCTGCAAATCATAATCTTTGATTAACTCTAACCATCGTCTCTATCTCATGTTCAATTCCTTTTGGGTGAAGAAGTATTTCAAGCTCTTATGGTCGGTGTACACCTCACAAGTTACCCCATACAAGTAGTGACGCCAGATTTTCAAAGCAAACACCACAGCTGCTAACTTAATATCATGTGTTGGGTAATTATTTTCATGAGGTTGAAGCTGTCTAGAGGCATAGGCAATCACTCTTCCGTTTTGCATTAGTACACACCCCAAGCCTTTATAGGAAGCATCACTGTACACTTGAAACCCATCAGTACTGTTAGGCAAGGTTAGGATTGGTGCAGTCACTAACCTGGTTTTCAACTCTTGGAAAGTTGCCTCTCTTTGTTCGTTCCAGTCAAATGGCACATTTTTCTGAGTTAACTGAGTCAATGGCATGGCAAGCTTAGAAAAGTCTTTCACAAACCTCCGGTAGTAACCTGCAAGTCCCAGAAAGCTTCAGGCTTCTGTCACATTTGTTGGTCTAGGCCAATCCATAACGGCTTCAATTTTCTGAGGGTCAACAGCAACTCCATCCTTGTTGATTACATGTCCCAAAAATGCCACACTGTCAAGCCAGAATTCACACTTGGACAATTTAGCATACAACCTTTTCGCTCTCAAAATCTACAAGGTAGTTCTGAGATGGTTCTCATGTTCTTTCCTGTCTTTAGAATAAATCAAAATGTCATCAATAAATACAACAATAAAATCATCCAGATATGATTTAAACACCCTGTTCATAAGATCCATGAAAGCTGCAGGTGCATTAGTCATCCCAAACGGCATTACTAAAAATTCATAATGTCCATATTTAGTTCGGAATGCAGTTTTCTCTATGTCCTCAGCTCTAACCTTTAATTGATGATACCCGGACCTGAGGTCAATTTTGGAAAACACTTGGGCACCTTGAAGTTGATCAAATAAGTCATCTATTCGGGGCAGAGGGTATTTATTCTTGATAGTCACTTTGTTCAGTTCTCGGTAGTCTATACACAATCTCAAAGACCCATCCTTCTTTTTAACAAACAAAACTGGAGCACCCCAAGGTGAAGTACTCGGACAGATAAATTTCTTATCTAACAGTTCCTAAAGTTGGGTTTTCAATTCTTTCAATTCAGAGGTAGACATTCTATAGGAAGTCTTGGAAATAGGTTGTGTCCCCGGAAACACTTGGATAGTGAATTCAATTTCTCTATCAACTAAGTCCCCAGGTAAGTCAGTCGGAAACACATCAGAAAATTCACAAGCAACAGGGATTGTTTCTACAGTAACACTGTCAGATGGTGCAGTCAGTATACAACACAGATAACCTCTACATCCCTTCCTAAGGAGTTTTACAGCTTTCATAGCCAAAATCAATATGGGGGAGGAATTACCCCATTCCTAATAAAAATGAAGTCAGGCATACCCGGTGGTCTAAACACAACAGTTTTATTTGCACAGTCAATGGTAGCACAGTATTTAGTCAACCAATCCATCCCTAAAATACAATCAAAATGATTAATGTCCAAGGGTAATAAGTCCACATACAACATCATATCGCAAATCATAACATAACATGCTTGATAAATATGAGCACACATTATAGAATCCCCAGACGGCGTAGATACAAATAACACATATGTCATGAGTTCTAATGGTCTAGTCAATTTTCGAGAGAAAGCATGCGATACAAAGGAATGTGTAGAAGCAGAATCTATTAGTACACATGCATTTTGAGAACATATAAAGAGTGTACCTGACACCACAATATAGGTGTTCGGTACGTCACTGGGCACTAAGGCAAACACTCGGCCTTGTCTCTGAGGTTCTTTCCCAGTATTGGCTTTGGCATTGGTTTTGGCCACAGAAGCAGATCTCGCTGAACTTGCTGCAGGACGGCTAGCATTGTCATACCTGAACGGGCAATCTCTCACTACATGACCTGGTTGGCTACATCGGTAACAAGCATCGGATACTCGGTGACACACACCCCTGTGTCTTTTACCACAATCGAGACAAATCGGGTTAGACCTATCCCTCTGACTCGAGCTGTTTGTAGATCCTGTGTTCTGTTTCTTACTGACAAAGGACCGGCTTTTCTTAGAACCAAACTTGGATCTTTTTCCTCTCCACTCAGTTGTTATAGTTACTGGGGCTTTACTTTGTCTCATAGCGGCTATGGTAGCTTTCGCCATTAAGGATCTGTCTAAGACTTCCACATAAGTAGGCAATTTCAACACGCCCACCCGATCAAACACCTCCAAATCCAATCCACCTTCGAATTTTCGTACTTTCTTGTAATCAGTATCCACCATGTGTGGAGCGAACCGTGCCAATTCGGTGAATTTAGCTTCATGCTCTGCTACAGACATTCTTCCCTGCTTGAGTTCCTGGAATTCAGATACTTTCCGATCCCTGAAATATTGGGGAAAATATTTATCATAAAAGACTGCATTAAATTATGCCCACGTCATATTCCCGTTGCCATTTCTGATCAGTAACCACCACCTGCGAGCTTCATCCTTCAGAGTGTAGGTGGCTATGAGGACTTTCTGAGTTTCGGTACAAGGAAACACTTCATACAACTTCTCAATTTCAAGTAACCATGTCTCTGCTTTCAAAGGTTCAATTCCACCACAGAACGTCGGCAGTTTCATTTTCATGAATTTCTGTGTCAGATTGATGATGTCAGTATTATCTGCCTCAGCTTGTGCTGGTAGAGGCGGAAGGGGCAAAGGTTGTTGTCTCTGTTGTTGTGTCCAGGCTTCAGTCAACGCTGCTAACATTTGTTCCATTCGGCCCATACAAGCCTCTGAAGATTCACTTTCACCACTTCCCCTTGCATTCTCCATCTTACTATACAGACATCAAATGATAATAAACACAGGCATAATCTTATTTGTTTCCTTCAATTCATTTGATTTAAATGTACATTCAGTTTTCATATTCAGTTAAATTACCACACACTCACACATGCAGATGGAATGCCCCTAACTCTTACTAGGACATCCTAAGCTCATACGGACCTGTCTGTGCGGTAGAACACGTGCTCTGATACCACTTTGTCACGACCCAAACCCGCCCCTGTAGGTTTAGCACCGTAATCGGCTAGTAATCCGTGGATTACCAAAGGCCACTGGACAGATTAGCAAGTAATAAGGGACTGCAGAAGCAATAATACAAAATAGACAAGGTCCAATGAGCTGTGATAACGTACATGGGACAGAAAATTTCAAGACTTATATATATACATAAGCATGCCAGTCAGAGGGCACCAATATTTAGAAAGTATTTGCATCCTAAGACCTGTCTTTACAAAACACATACTGAGACTAGCATGAGTACAAAAACCAACCATAGCATTATACTTCGACCGGAACCTCCTCGGGAGGCACAACAGTTGGCTGACAAAACAGAATGGAAGGCCGTCAACTCTGGCCCTAGTCACACGCCGGCTCACCTACATATATAATATAAACTGTGAGTGAAAGCCCAGTGAATAATAACAGAGTAAAGGGGTTTTATGAATGAGTCCATACAAATTCAGAATCCATAATTCAGTTTCTTATCAAAATCATAACTTGTTTAGATCATATACAGACATAAATCATAAGCCTTGTTTAAGTTTACGTGATACATTCTTTAGCACTAGCAGAAACAGTTGACTCATAAGGGACGACCATCAAGGCATACAGTTGACTCACGTGCACGAAGACGATACAGTTGGCACATGAGACGTACAGTTGACCCATGAAGGGACGTAAGGATCCATAACAGTTGGCTCATGAGACGTACAGTTGACCCATAAAGGGACATAATAGAACCGATAACAATTATCATTTGAGGTTAAGAATGTCACGAATACATTTCAGAAACATTGGACATCTATTCATTCATACAAAAACTATTACCTCGGCAAACAGATCATTTTATATCACTCAGAAAATCCTTATAATTGAACATAACTTTACAAATTTATTACTCACAGTGGGCCTTGAGACAGACAGACGGAGTAAGCTTGGTCAAACGGTACGTGGCACGTGACTTACACAACACATAACAGATACACTCTTGAAACACACGTTCTAATTGTACAAAACTTATTTCGTTGGCTCTTAGTGCCCTTCTAATCTCTTACCCTCATTATGGGATCTTAAACATGGCCTAGGAATGCCTAGGATGGAATGAGGATGCAAAAATGCCTTAGAAACATTTTCTCAAAATTTGCTGAAATAAGGTCCACGCTCGAGCGTGGCTTTCCTTGCTCGAGCATACATGTAGATGTTGAGGTTCCGCTCGAGCGTGAACTTCCCCGCTCGAGCGGACTATAAAATCGACAAAAGTACTGGATGGAAGATATTCACGCTCGACGGGCGCTCGCCCTCCGCTCGAGCGTGAGACTCAGACCCCCGCTCGAGCGTGTATTCCCTCGCTCGAGCAGACTGTAAAACATGCAAACTTCTGGGTATAGGCATTTCACGCTCGAGCGTGATTCTCGACGCTCGAGCGGAAGTGCATGTACTCAGGCTTCACGCTCGAGCGTGAAAGTCCCTGCTCGAGCGTGGGTCAATTTTCTGGAAAATCCAGATTGACCTCCCAAGCTCAAATTCGACAATCAACCTTCCAAAACTCATTTTTTCTGGGCCAAAACTTTGAAAAACCCTTAGTAATTCATAAAACAACAAGTGTGAAGCTTCAATTCAAGAAATCATGGCCCAAGAGTAAGTCAATCATGCCCAATTCCAACATGAAACTTAACATAAACTCAAGTACATGACTAGTATGCAATTCCTTGAATTCAAATCTTCCAAAACATGACTAAACGCAAATGTTTATCCCAAAACATGATCAACTATGATATTATGACATGGAACATGAAGAATTTCTAAACAAAGCTTGAATTATGACATGCATGGAAGGATTCTTGAAAATCAAACTCTAAAATGCTATGGAACATGCATGCATGCATGAATTCATTCTTAATTCCCCTTTTTAAGTCCAAAACACCTGCTAACCCACCTAACACCATTAATTCATGATCTTAACAACTAGATTTCAAGACTAGAGATTAACATTCTTACCTAGGGACCTAAATTCCTTATTCTAGTGATGGTCTCGAAGTTTTCCTAGCAAATCCTCTCCTTGTGAATTAAATCTTCAAGCCCTACACCAATTCCCATTCTCTCACTCTCTCAGCCGTTTGTCTCTCCCTCTCAAGGTTCAAGAGTGATCAAATAAATGAATAATAGAAGGTGACTGGGGCTTAAATGGCCTATTAAGTAGTAATTGGTCAAAAGTAACCAAATAACATTATTTTAATCGAATTTAATCGCTCCGAATCGAATTTTAATTAACCCTACCATAAAATTCTATAAATTCTAATAAGAACATAAATCAAGTCAATTTCTGGGTCGAATGCCGATAAGGCTTTCAATTCGCTAACCGAAACTAAAACGTGAACAGATATTTCTACACTGAACAGATAGAAACACAAAATCATGCAATCACACATGCAATTTAGTTCCAAATCCTTCCTAAATTATTGCTAGGCTTAACTAAGCACGAATTAACGTTAATATGAGGTCGGGGTTATTACAAGGATGCCCAATTAAGAAGGCCTAATTACACTTTAATCAATTTGACATTAATTACTCTAATTACTTCATTTTGAAACGAGTTTCAATTAAACCTCCATAAAATTCTAAAATCTTCAAGTAACACATAAATCAAGTCAATTTTGGAATCGGATGCCGATAGGGCCCTCAATTCGCAGAACAAAATAGTAAAACAAACAGATATTTCTACAACAAACAGATAAAAACACAACAAATGGATCACATATGCAATGAAGTCAAGATTTCATTTTAATTACCCATTTGACTTACTAAATCATGGCTTAATCATGGTTTATCAGTTAATCATAGGTTAGGGTTGTTACAACCTTCCCCCCTTTAAGGAGTTTGGTCCTCCAAACTCGAATTACCGTCATTCTGGAAGAACACTAGACTCAAAGGAAACAATTTTGGGTATCTTCTCATCATATCTTCTTCTGTCTCCCAAGTCACATAGGTTCCTTCGTGATTTTGCCAATCAACCTTCACTAACGAAATTTCTTTGTTTCTCAATCTTTTGATTCAGTGATTCATAATTTACATTGGCTTCTCCTCCTACGTGTAATCATCTTTTAGAAGCACATGAGTTGATTCAATCACATGTAATGGATCTCTCAAATAATCCCAAAGCATAGAGACATGAAAAACATTATGCATATGTTCCATCATTGGAGGTAAGGCCACTCGGTATGTTATTGAGTTGATTTTCTCTAAAATTTCATATGGGCCAATGTATCTTAGTGCTAGTGTAGACACCCCATTTTTGACTGCCCTTAAGACTTGGGCGCCAATAATTGCTTACTGGGTGATGAAAGTTGTGCAGTGCAAAGGTTTGATTTCTTCGGCAAGAGGAGCTCCGAATCCTAACCTCACACCTCTTTTTTGGACCAAAACCTTTTTGACCAAAACAATTTTAGGCCTTAAAACTCTCTCTTTCAAAATATTTTTGAAAATGCTTCTGTGATGTTCCGAGGCTCGCATTTCGTTAAATGTCATGCTTTTCGATAAACCGAGCAAAGACAAAGTGGAAATAGATGGAAGAGAGGAGAAATATTTCAAAAACATTTCAAAATACCTTATTTAGAGGTTTGGAGTTGAAGAAAATAGGAGAGAAGAGAAGAAAACTAGCTGAGGAGAAGTTAGGCATGAATCCGGGTAGGACCGAAACTGAGCAGTCTTCACTAAAATAAGCATATCTTCTTGCACACTTGGCATTTTCATGTAAGGCTGCCACCATTGGAAATAAGACTCTTGGGGCTTCCATTTAGGCTAAAGAATGACCTAAAAAGGAGTCTAGATGAAGGAGATATGCCTGTTTGACGTTGGGCCTGGAGAGCAGATTTTTCATGCTAGCCAGAAGTGAAGGTTGCTGGCCATGGATGGGCTTTGCTGGCCATGTGCCAGCCATGAATGGCTTTTGCCGGCCATGTTCCAGCCAGGAGTGTTGCTGCCAACCAGAAATGGACCTTTGACGGCCATCAATGAGGGCTTGCCGGCCATTGGTGCAAAAAGGCAATTTTCTGCAGATATTTGTCCTCAAACTGTTCCAGCTATCGATTTTGAGATATTTCCAACCTGAAGTCATATATTTCTATATATAGAGGCCCTTATCTATTGTTTTCAAGGTTAGAAAAATTTTGGGTGCCTCTCTCTCTACAATTCTCTTTCTCTACATTTCTCTATCTCTCTTGAACTTTTGTGCATAAGTGCATACAAGTGAAGATACACTTCAAGTTTGCCTATGAATCCTTGATCAAACTTGACCACCATGAGCTGAGGTCCTTAGAAGCCTTCTTGGATCTTTAGAAGGAGTTTTTTACTTGACTTTGTGCCTAGAATTGTTGCTTGCTTCAAGAGGTATAACACTCTCATTTTAAGCTTGTTTTGCATACTTGTTTTGCCATCTTTTCAAATTGTTTTTGGCCTAGTTTTCAACTGTAAAAACCTCTATTTTTATGACCTAAAAATGGTGATTTGAGGCTATTTTGAGTTAGGGGTGGTTCACCTTCTTGTCTCTTTGCTTGTTATGCTTTTGTGCCATCTTTTCATCACTTTTAAATTAACTTTTTTGGACCTTTCAACCACTGAACCTCAGAGGTTTTTCAATGGTAAAAAATTTGTTTTGAAGTCAAAAATTGGAGGGGTTAGTCTCCCCTCCTTGTGTCTTGCTTGTA